GAGATATCTTCACAGCCTTTGAACAGGTGGAGTAATAACATGACATTTACTCAGTAAGAGTAAATGCAAGGTCCTCCACATCAGTCGTAATATCGATAGGTCGCTGAACGCGTTCGGTGTGGACGAGCCGGAGGAGGCAAACGGAGAGAGAGACTTAGGGATCGCGGTTGATGAGAAACACCACCTCTCGCACACTCAAGCGATAGTAGCCATATGTAGTTAGATCTTAGGCTTCACCTGGCATTCTATTGCCATTAAGAGCTCTCGCGCTATTATTCCATGGTATACATGTATATCTCTGGTTTGACCTCGTTTAGAGCATTGCGTTCAATTTTGGAGATCTACAAATAAATGTGACCTAACGGCGCTCGAGAGTTCAAAGGCAAGCTACAAAAATGATAAAAGAGGTACGAGGACTTTCATACTAGAAGCGTTTAGACACATTGGGACTCTTCTCGCTTGAGAGAAGGCTAACTAGGGAGAACCTCATCCAGGCTTTTCATATCAATAATAATCGATAACGTGGAGCGTCGTAGATTCTTCCAACTCGATGGTAACAGCAGAACGAAAAGAAATCGGTTCATGTTGCGTAAACCCAAAGTGGGACTCTGGTTGCGGAATTACTTCTTTACGTACAAGTTAGTTAATGTGTAGAATGCATTCAGTGACGATGTAGCAGCTGCCCTCCCCGTGAATAGCTTTGAGAACATTTTTCTTTGGCAATGTGCATATTCAAGCAATGAGCAAACGGTCCCCGAGATATGACCCTAAAATGTCGAGGGAGGGGGGAAAGATGATGCCTCGAACAGAAAAACATAATCTCCAAAATATTAAACCAGGGCTGTGCCGATTATCGCGATATTGATTGATATTGGACCTATCGGCGATATGTCCGTTTATCGCGATATTCTTATTTAGCTCCATACTGGCCCTTCCTGGTTTCTCATCTATGAATTCATTGCTGACTCTGGCTGATTACAGAAGGCTAAATTCCGTGATGGATGAAGGAAACCTAAAGCTGGAAGCTCGCACCACGGTTAACCATCCCCGCAAGAATTGCAAGGTCTACATGGAACAGGCCTGATGAAGGAAAAACAAAATGCGGAAGGTTTCATTCTAGAGTGAATCCCCTCAACTATTCGACCTATGTAGTGTAGGAAGGAGGTGGCATACATCACTATGTAGCACTACCCTTAGTTTTCAATGCGAGGCTGATATGATCAAAAGGGAAGAAGTGAGACATGGATCACCATAGCTCGATGGCAATACCCTGTGATTCCTCCTTGCATACCATTTGTCTTCTGCCCTTTTCTAGGAAAATCAAGATCATTCCTTCGGAAACGCCCCAGGTGAAAGACCTAGTCTTTCACCGCAAGAGATATTCGTACCAATATTCCTTTTGCTTCGTGTGAACACCATCTAGCAATGCTTGTCTGTCTCAGCAATGTGTTTTCAAATCTAACTCGTGGGACTTACGATATCGCGATATCTTACGATACATAGTTGGCGATATTTATCCCTTCAAAACCCATATCGCACAGCCCCAATTAAAGCTTGAAATCAGGAGAATTATTGAATCGGGTTATCTGTGCCTTGTTATTAAGGGGAAAGTTGTAAACAACGTATGTTGAATCAATATTGACCCGAGATAGTGCCATATTACAATTTTAGTATAAAATTAGGCCAATGTTGATCAAACTACTGTGCTACTGGGGTACTTTTTATATCAGAAAAGTTTAAATTTTCAAATAAAAAATTTAGAAGCGGGAAAGCTGGCTATGAATCTAATTTTTGGGTGTCTTTTATGCTCCATCATTCCTTCAAATTGTTACTCTTGATTAGTCTGGTGACATCCTTCATTAGCTTTACCGTGCTCAAAATTTTGTTTTGTTAATTTCTATTTACACATTGTGCCAAATTTGGCAAACTTCGTCCTTCAATAGCTTTTGATTGAATCCGGGGTTAGGTTTTATTCAGAAAGTTATGTTCCGAGTTCTTTTGATAAAAAGCGATTCCATTCTATTGCTCTAAAAACTTAATTTCGAGAATTTTCTCTTGATTGGTCTTCTTAAGCAAAAGTCACCATAACATATTTAGTAATAATGGACACTTTTGAACTCCGTAGCAGCATTTATTAAGCATTATAAGAAAAATATTAGAGATGGACTGTCATATACATAAGGAACAATGTAGTGCACATGACAGGGAACAGAAGAATCTTGCGATTTCTAGTAACGACTGATTCCGGAAAGATTCTTCTATTTAAACCGATAAAAAAGACAACAATTTAACATGAGAAAAAATCCTAGACCCTTCTAGGGCGAAGCATGGAAGACCAAATCAAACAGTAAAAAGTCACCATCACATTATTGCTAATTTAACCATGCAAGTGGGAGGGAAAAAAATATCAGTCACCCGTTTACGTGTCGTAACATGCTACCACGAACTCAGAATTTCATCAAATCAAATTAAATTTTTCGTTTTTTAATCGCTTTTAAATACATTTATTTGGCCCTATAGATGTCCTGGATCGACAATAGGAAGCACAGTGATGATGTGATGCATTGTGAATGGATCCTTAAAGAGGAACAGGATCTCTGGAGCGTTGGAGAAATAAGTTCTGTGCGTCCGGTTGAGAAATGCAGGAGAAGAATCAGGAAAGACTTCACACGTAGACATATAGCATATGTAAGTGACACGAATTTGGAAAAAGGGATAGAAAACATCAAATTTCAAATATTTTCCACGCTCTATCATTTCAAATAAAACAAACTGCTTTCTAAAAAAAAAATACAGTTAATATGGAGTTATGAATATTTAAGTCGTATACTTGGAGAAAATAAAGAAAGTTACAACACTATTAAATTTCAAAACATTAAAAAGTCAATATTTCATTCAATTTTTTTTGGTCTCCTGCAAAAAAAAATTAATACAAGAAATAATAATAATAAATCTTGGATGCAATAAAATCCCAGCTCCTTCCATGCTCTCATGATTTCTACGAGGCGTTCTTGGTAGTAGCAGAACATCCACGTTCTCGAAGACTCCTCGACGCTTTCTTGAGACTAGGCATCACCGTCCTTCATCCGGCAAAGCTAACACAGGTTGTTTTCGAGACATGCCGTGACTTTCACAAGCTGGGCTGCGCCGGATTTCGGGAAAGTGTAGCATAAACGTGCGACTCAATGAGCCGGACTTCGACGGGTCCTGCTAGACTCCGTATACGACTGGCTCTTCTGTCCTTGAGCGGTCGCTATTGGAAACCACGAACTCGATATATCGATCATGCACATGTGTATATGATATCGTATGAACTTGGAGCAGTTTCTCTCATTCTTCCCTTTTCCTCCTAGTATTGCGCTAGCAATAGTTTGAGGGAGACACACCATAACGAAATATCAATAATAATAAAAATTGATAGCAAAATGCCTCATTGGCTATAGAATTATCTTCATTGTCGGTATCCTTGAAATGTTTTGCGACAGTCCAAGTTCACCATCCCGAACTCCTTTTGGTTGAATATGTCGCTGACGATAAAGGTGTGACAAGACAAGTATCTCCATAAATTAAGATCGCTCATGTTGACAGATGAGGCATGCTCGTCAATTTATAGAGCGAGAAAAAAATCTCTGTCGTTTTCTTTGGGAGAAAGATGGCTAGCGTATACGACCAACAATTATAAGTTATGTAAGCGATCGATATTAGAAGGCTGCGAGATGTTGGAATGACATCTGTCGGTACTTCTCGGAGTCTTGAGGCAGGTATATAGCTCAGTTATTAACGAGCTTGGCTCCCAGGACAGGGGACACCGGCGTGCTTGGGAAGGAAGACCTCTGAGCACTTGGCACTTCCGTCTCTGAATGTGGGACGTTTTAGAATCCCAACGGGGAAGGTAGAATCTAGGTCAAGTATCCCCGGAGTAACAGCTCTGGCCAAATGGTGTCGCCCAAGGCTAGGAATTACTCGTGCTAGCTGACGTTACAGGGGGAAAGGGGTTTAGATGGGAGGTTGGGTTGGCTGGTGTTCCAAAGTTAGAGGGGAGTTAAAGACCTGGTGCCTCAAGTATTCGGTACCGTACCGAATCGTATTGTATCGTAGCTGGGAACGAACTTGAACTGGACTAGACCGTCACGCAATGGTCGTCACATAATTTACAGATGAATTATTCTTCCTCAAGTATCACATGGTCTCTGCTCGATCTCAAAATTAAATTAAATTAGGCATGCACTCGGAATATGGTTATAACATAAATAAAATTATTTTAAATCGAAAAAGACAGAAATTAAACTTTAAATTGAGACTCCTGTGCCAAATTTGTTTATTTTAGAGAGGAGGATATTATGAATGAGTCCATGCATTGATGAACAAATATGCAAAATAATTTTGAGATGTTATGTTTCCTACCTGATTTTCCCTCCTTCAAATGGGAAAATTGGTCATTAATTGCACATCAGTGGTTGTAACATCTAATTTGGGAAACTTACCAAACGTGGAAACGTTTAAATGCTGAAAACTTTGTATCATTGTTGGAAAATGGAAAATTTAATCCCTCATATCTCGACCCTCTTAGGCTGTATAGACCCATGATTCTCCTTTTACTCTTCTCACCTTAATCGATTGCATGCCTAATTTTATTTAATTCTGAGATTTTCAAGCGCTGACCCTTGACGCACTTGCAGTGGAATGATCCACCTACAATTCTTTGTGACTGGGTATTGTATGACTCCAAGAAGGGTTCCTTCACTTAATCCTTATTCAAACACTTCGTTGCTTTCAAAAGTTGATCGTTTATGCTACATATTGTCATTGGTCGCATGCATGAAGCCACCTTCTTCCTAAAGAAAGCGATGGAGCTTTTTATTTTTGTCAACCTATACCGGATCTTCTAACTTCCTCCTCGACGTATTCCTATTCCTATTATCTCGGCAAAATTTATGCTTTCTCGCATGACAAGAAAGGAAATTTTGACCTGGGTATTCCATTCTGAAACCCGTCAGGCTTCATTTCATTACAGAAGCGCACTCTTCTGGTCGGTCAATTGTGGGGATGCCAGAGCGATCCGACTGGATTTTTGCGTCGATGGTTTCCAATTCTAGGCTCTGTTTCCTCACGTAACTAGAGACAGTCCGGCCAGTCCGGACCGAAAAAGAAGAAGAAGCAGAAGGCATTCTTCTGCCTTCGACACCTCCCCGGCAGATAGTTAGGACGCGGTCCTTAAGCTGATGGAAGACTCGCTTCTTGCAAGCGAAGATGAAGAAGATGAAAGAGCCTTGAAGTGCGTTGATGATGTCGAAGATGTACCAGGCCGAAGAGGGTCCGATCTTCCAAGACAGGACCTCGGCGAGCCACGTCACTCCCATCACGACGAACAGCTTCAGGTAGATCGAAAATCTGTTGGTGTGACGTCGAATTTCAGAGCCACATATAATGCATTTTCCTTTACGACTTTTATTTTATTCCCATAAAATCTAATACTAAAATACCCCCGAATGAAACTGCATGCTATCGATGAAGTGCACGTCTCCGAATGAATGTTTTTCTTTTTGTGACTCGTAGGAAATCGGCCTTTCTCGAAGTTTTCTTCGTTCAACCAAGTCACCAGAGTATCGGTCACCAGAAAGGTGTGGAAAAGCGTGAGGTCACGGGACCATTCACGATGGCTTATTGAATCTGATTTTATAAAATGAGGATGGACTGTAATTCGTGCAAGCCTAATAGAACGACGCAGAGGAAACATGTACCCACGTATCAATAATTATACATAACCGTATTACGTATCCTTCAATCGCTTTCATACCCCATTTCACGCATTTTATGCTAGTGAGGATTACTTTGCAAGTTCAGAGGCGCGTCAGCTTTGAGTTTGGAAGAAGTTTATTCTTCTCTTACCGTCTCTCGTTGTTGGGATTGGATATTTGGAGATCAGAGGTCTCTTTCCTATGCTGGAGAAGATTCTTCGCCGTGAGGGCGAAGAACACACTATTGGCTATCAGCAATCCCGCCACTGGCCCGTAGAAGTACACGAAGATGGCCCATCTCCCTGTCGGAATCGTCAAGTTCACCTTATTAATCGTTCTACCATCTGAATTCACATCAGGACTCGCGGTCGATTCGAGTAAATTTTTTTTCAATATGGTAGAAGTCTAATATAGCCATTGCTTTCGCAAAAAAAGAAATAGCCTTAGAATCGCTAGGATGTTCCTTAGGGGAGCAGTCATCTATTGTGTCTCTCATACGAAGCTACACTTCGTATCTCATCAGATTTGATCGTTCGATGAATGGAGCACGGAAAGGCTACGCTTCCTGGCCATGAAATCGATGAACATCGTCTTTCGAAGCACCAAAAATGGGTGAATATTTACGCAGAACTCCAACGAGGTAAGCTCACATTTTCATGCAACATTCAATGAGACATTTTCGAGCATGGGATACTATCAATGAAGATAGAAAAACTGGGCTTCTCCTACATTCCTCATGCCTTCATGCAGCAAAACTCTGGCATACAATGGAATGAAGTTAAATATGGGACAAGCGCTATATAATCAATATAATCCCCATAACTATAATTAATCAAGTTTGGAGAAATCTATATTTCGAGACATTTTCAGGAAAACTTATTTGTAGAGTTTGACATCCGAGTTAGTCTATGCAGTTATTGATAAGGAATAGCTGTGAGCCTGCCAATATTCCCAATCGGAAACTATTGCTACTCTAGAGTGAGTTGATGCAAGCAATACAATCGATGGTTGACATGAAATTCATTCTTTTCATGCATACTCTCACTTCTGAGCACGAAATGTGCTTTAATTTTTCCTAATTTTTCTGCAGAATCGATCTGGTATGTTTTCTTTTACTTATAGCAATAAGTAAAAATAATCATTACGGACTTATACACACGGTACGGAAGTGTCGGTATTAGTTACTTTATACCTTAAGTGAGAGACTAACCTATCCCAAGGTATACTATTGTAAATATAATTTTGTTTGACGTTCTTGGTGTTGAGAAGATGGGGCGGTAAAAAGTGACGCAAGACCTTGGCTGGCGAAGTGCATTGTAGGCGAGATGCTCAGGCTATTCCCACTGTAGGTACTCTCGTATATCCTTCTTTGACACCTGATAGATTCCTCGTTCTTGTATTCAAATGTATGCCAAAATGCGCTTTGATAGTCGGAAATGTCAGAAATTCTTTTCACGATACTTGCTACAGTCAAGCTTGAGCCAAGTGCATTACGGCCAATCAGACCTGCGAGTGGATATCATATGCATCCCTCCCTAGGATTCGTCCAGCTTCGATTCCTCGAGTTTGCATATGATGAAACTCGCAAAAGTCACTCGTGGAATGACCAACGGAAAATGGAACGTGAGTTGCGGATGAGCGTAGTGAAAAAACCACCACAGTTGTACAGTAGTATGCGAATCTGACTCCTGTCAAAACCGACTACTGTAACGTTTTTCGCGTACGCAATTGTGATTACCGTAATCAATTTTGCGTAGCTGACTTTACTACTTTAGTGCTTTTTGCGTTCGCCCATTCTACTATGGTAGTTACGCCAGCGTGCGCAAATATTACTACGTCCATGCCAAAATGACTTCCCTATGAACAATTCTGTTTTCGCATATTTTATTTCTGTGACATCAACGAGGTCGTTGCAGTTGTCCAATTGCTATCACATTGGAAGCTGATATCCGTATTTTGTTTCCTCCCACTTTCTATCTGGAGAGTTGAATCGCATGAGTCAGCGTTAGAACCTCCTTATCTTTCACGGTGACACATTGCTCTTCATCTTTCAATGTCCTCGCTCCCGCATCTTCTCGACACATTTCAGACCATTACTCCATGTTACTGCCTGTACCGATAAGTATCTGACAGATCAGGTCAAGGTTTCAGGGAAGTGGTTATCTCACACCCAGACTCTGGAGGCATGCCTGGAAGAGAGATCATGCTGCGAACCTATAGCCCATTGCAAACAGTCTCAGGTCACAATATTCATTTTTGCATGACAATAGTGAATCCTGCGTACGCGGATTTTACTACGGTTGTGAATCAGTGTACGCTAGTTTCACTACTGTAGTGGTTTATACGAGGTAGTAAATTTCGCGTCCTACACCGGCATCGTGGGACTAAAAATGTTGTAGACCGGTCACCCTGGACCCGCCATTTATTCGATGGAAGCAGTTGTATGGATACATCCATCATATCGTGGCATGATGGATATATCTATCATGATAAAAGAGGACAACGGTCTTGATAAATTCCTATTCCTGGTCCTCGCACTTTTTCGCTCTATTTTATAAGCATTCGAAGATGGACAAATTCAGCCCATTGTAGTTCCGGATGGATTGCGTAGAAAGCATATCACTTTTAGCCAGAGAATATAGGAATCGAGGCTGAAAGGAAATAGAGAACATTCTATTTATCTTGCTACTGATGCCAATTTCAACCTCCGCAAAGACAGTTAATTCTCATCTCTTCTTTTTCCTTGTTGATTCATGGGCGTCTTTCACGATGTGCTGGACTAGTTATGAAACGTTTTAGATTACTGTCGCTTTGCGTTGACATGGAAAGTGTAACAATTTAATACAAAAATGAACGTAACATCCTGTTCCATCCATCCATAACATCCTGAACAAGTTCAATCAGAGAGCACTAATGATAATGAGCACGTTATATCGAGGTGCCATTTCGATGAAAAAATTAGCGAGATCGCGAATATGAGTTCACAAGCGAGCCCACCTATAATTACCCAACTTACAAAGAGCCGCATGAAAGCAATTTCCTGGGCGTTGAGAATTCCAGGATGGACCTGGACTCGTGAATGAACCATTCAAAGGTCATTCACACGAGTGCGAAGAATGGACACTACATGTAGCGCAGTTATCGAAGGGCAGAGAGAATTCCTTTTTTCCATTACGAGTATATAAGGCCTTGAAAATACCGACGGCGCCGGAAAGGGACACGAAGACTCACCGTTAACTAATTGCACACTTTTTTCCAAGCTCTTCCTGCAACGTCTGGAATTCAGCAGTCAGCAAGTCAACAATGAAAATCTGAAAGAGCTAATAGGGTTGCTCGAGTAGCCTCATGAAAAATCTCCCCTACTTCATTTTCCAAAGCCGCTAACTCTTTCGATTTTTCTTTTTTAACTCGAGTTGCCTTATAAACTGACTAATCGACTTCGAACGTAACTTATTGGCTCATTTAATCGTATTCTGAGCAGCTTAGGAGGAAGGGGAGGGGGGGGGGAATGTACTTATTGTTTGGACATTAAAAAGTAGGCTGCTGTATGGGTCAAAATTCATATCCTCCAGTTAAATCTAGTAACCCTGATGTATTACCAAGTATTACCAAGGATATCTGGACGATTGGTGAGGCTAATCGGTTTTCGACCAGGGTCCTGTTCGCCTACGCTAAACTTTATTGGCGGCAATTTATTTAAAAACCGGAGGTGGGGGGGGGGGGGGGGGCCCGGGGGGGAAGTCGGGNGGGGGGGGGGGGGGGGGGGGGGCTCCAGTGGCGAAGTCAGGATTTAACCAAAGTGGAGACTAGTGGGGACGGAGGGGGGGGGGGGGGTCTTGAGTCTTTCGTCTCCCTCGCTAACATGACCAGAAATTATTTTCGGAAGAGGGGGCGCGGAGGAGCGGATGAATTTTGACTAAAGTTGGAGGGCTAGAACTAAACCTGGGAGACTTTAGTTCCCTCCTCGCTATGCACTGGGGAGCTCAGAGACTGCTTATATGGGAACTGCATGGAAAAAGGATGACCAATGCGGGCTGCTATCCTCTATGCGCTTTTACGTAGGCTTCCATACACACTTTGTCAACTCCGTAATGGAAGACCGTATGAGGTGATGGATGAGTATTGCCGAGATTATCATTCTTAGCTAATACTGTCCTCCAGATGATATCATAATGGAAAGCTAATCTCCTCGTGTATGATCGAGAAATTTGCCGTATATTGGGAAATCAAAGGAAAGGAATTGAATACGCCCAAAAGAAGGTCGAGAGTTTCAAAAATTTTTTTCCATTAGGAATTTTCAAAGGGATCAAACACTTCTTTGAAATTTGCTGTTTTTTTTTATTGTTTATCGAATGGGAGCAGAACACTCGACGGTATCTTGTAGTTCATTTGGAGGTACTTCTCAATAAAAGACGAAAAGTGTACGACTGCTGTAAAAGAGTCCCTCTGTCACACTGCCGTGACTCCCTTTCGCCAAACTGATCCGTAAACCCTTCTTCTAAGCCAACACCTTCGGTCAACCTCGAAAACCAAACAGTATAGCGTTGGGCAAAGTAATCTGGAATGGTAAGTGAACTTAGCCTGAAGCTACTCAATGGAAAAATAACTACCGTACACTTATAGGAAACTCATCTGCTTTACTCTTATCACTACCAAAATATGCTCGGAAATTCACCAGATCTGTATATTACAGTATTGATGATTAGAATGAGAGTGGATATACACTTGTCTCACGGACCTCCAGCAAACCAACAATGGTTGAGTCCAAATCGTGGTTTCCAGGCAAGGTTGATGATAGTCGGGGAGAAGTCGGCGATTGCTGCAGCAGTCCCCAAGACCAGTGGTCCCCCCCACGCATACAGGCTGTATCTGAGGAACTTCCGCCTCCCCTGGTTTGAACTTGACGAGACCTGGCCTCGGAACGCCCTGTCGGGGAAATTCCTTTATACTTGATAAACGAGAAAGTGTGAGCTTGCCCACGGGGAGATTTTAGCCTGCGATTCGATTATGGAATTCAAAGACTTATTCAATGCTAGAGCATCATATGGACTTTCATAATGGGTGTATCCTGTTACGTCGGCATCGAGCTTTTGCTTTAAGGCAGCGGTTCTCAAACTGAGGGGTGCAATAGGTTACGGAGGTATTAGTTTTATTAGTTTATTTATTTATTTATTTATTGCAAGGTGCAATTTCAAAACTATTTCTTTTTTTCGGAAAAATGTTCACGTTCCGTTAAGTCTCTGGCTCTTTCTCTAGAGTACAAAACTAAATTAAAGCAATCCCCTTGCACAAGCTTTGATATTAGATTCTTTTCCATTGAGTTTTCACTTCCATTGGCGATTTCTCACATTCCGAATCAATACGACAAATGGATCGTGCGTCTCTTTGGGCTGTAACTCTAAATAAATAGGTCTCTTTTTGATCTTCGATAATTTTCCTTCCAAATGCCTCATCTTACCAGTGCGAAAAATCGGTGCCGTTTGGATGCTGAAAATGAACTTTCGGTCGTTATTGCTACCCTCCAGTCCAGATTTGATTTTTTTTTTTTTTGGGGGGGGGGGGGGGGGGGAACCAGAAGCATGCGAGAATCTTTCTCATTAGATTTCGTGAGTGATCATCCAATTCTTAGTTGTGACCCGGTCCTTGAAACTGTTGCAATCCTTTACCTTTTATTTTACTTTTTTTTCTATCATCACATAAAGAAATCATTGTGGTGCAGGCTTCATTTCCTGGTAAGGAAAGAGGGGCGCGACGCCAAATCAGGGCCACTGGGGAGGAGGGGGGGAGGGGGGGGGGGGGCGGCTGGGCGAACGCAAAAAGAACCGCTGCTTCAAGCGATTGCGATGATATGCATGGTGACGGTCGTGTCAAAGCATGCTAAAATGACAGCAAAGAGACATCAGGTCGGAAGTACCACGTACGTATTTTATGACCATTCATTGTCTGCAAGGCATTCAGGGATAGAAAAAATATACTTGAAGTAAGATGAGAAAGAACTCTAAAACAGTGAAAAAGTGAGAAGAATGAATCGCATCTTCCGGAAAAGTTGGATCAAAGTCTGAGGCCGAAAGTAAAATAAGATGGGTAACATCAAAATAATGCCCATCCATCGACTCCCATGAATTTGCATAGCATAGGACTCTGAGTTATGACATTCACGCGAGATGAGCACGTTGCAATCACTACGAGATCGTATTCTCTGTTACTTTTTTGGCGTGTGGAAATGAAAGAGTCTGTAATTCGGTCCCTTTCACTCCAGCCAATCAAAGAACTAGAACGGTGCATGAAGAACAGGAGAAGGTATCAGAGCTGCATTTCTAACTCCGTGAAAAAGCGAAAAGAAACTTGAAGTACTGTGTGGTTGAGCAAAGAGATTAAATATTCATGGGGAAATGTTGTCGAACGGACGGGCATTGCGTGCCAGACTATGGCCCTATTCATCGATTGGCCCTCTCCGTCGTTTGTTTCCTCCCTTTCTTCTAAGAAAGGCCTTCCGCCTAACAGGTGACCTACATTCATCCCGCACTCGGAACATTCTGCGTTACTTGCATGAATCGTGACTGGCTGGATCCCCCATCTCACCTCGAGCACAAGGAACTACGCGTTATTTTCCAATCACAATGAGCCCGGTTGAATCCGCTCGATTACGGAAGCAATGCGAGTTTACTGGCAAGAGTATCCCGTCCTCGCTGATATTATTCCAATTGCACTGCCGGGTCTCCATCGGGACAACTCGTATTGTAATCAAGTAGGTTTATACAGGGTCAGACTGGCGGCGTAGGGGCCCCCGGGGAAATTGGTGACAAAGGGCCCCCGCACCCCTCCTCCCCCCTATACAGTAATAATGACGCGTTTATAGTTTTCTTATCAGGTCGGGGAGGGACCCGGGAAATTTCACGGTATGCCGATGGGTCAGTACGGCCCTACATTTAAAATTAAAGATGTCAGGAAATAAATGAATAATTTGGGTGGCAGCTGTTGTAAACGTGGCATTACTATCCCCGCAAAAAGTTACAGCTAGAAATAGCAAGCTTTCTATCCGTAAATGTGAGCCACTTCCAGCAGGAATTGCAGCATTTCCAACTAGACTATTCGTAAATTTGTTTTGCTGTTTCCAACTGGAGTCAACCAACAGGATCCAGCAGGAATTTCCTGTTGTATTCTGCCGGATCTCTTTTTTTCCAGTCGGAAAAGGCTTACTTTCTAATTCCTAAACGGAACCAGTGACGTTTCCTGCACGGCAATCCACCTGCCGGAAAAGTCCATCACAAACTGAGTAAAACCAGTAATATTTCCAACTGGAAATTTTTGCTGGGAATGTAATCCAATTCCAGTCAAACTTAGACCGTAATAAATAGTTGACCAGCTCATTATACGATTCCCGTATCGTCTATTTCCGTTCCCTTCTAGGAATTTCCAGAATTAGTTCAAAGTTGAAGGTTTGTTTTGAAATGTTGAGAAGCTTTTCTGCTTGACATACCAAGTCGAGGTCGATCGCCACTCCTACTCACAAGCGAGTTCACGCATATGAGCATGTGTGAAATGTGTGAGAGATTGTCTCCGTTTCCGCAGACAAGCTGTGCCCGCAAGAGTATTTCTGCAAAATGGCTTTCAACTCTATTTTCATGCGAGCGAGTAGAAATGCTGAGCAATAGCTAAGATTATTATTAAGATTATTAAGATTTCTTATTATATTGTATTACTATTGCATTACTTATCGACGCTTAACGCACCAGAATTTGATATGCTAGGGAAAATATACCGCATCCAATTATTTTTAACTATACAAGAGATTCTCAATAATTTCTGAGAATGGTTTTACGTTCCAATTAGCCAGTAACAAATTAGCTGCGTTTTTTACGAGTTGCCACAAGGGACTAATTCAGAGCTAAGGAGTATCCCTCGATATCATTATGGTGAATGAGTGGCTATGGAGAATGCAACGGTGCGCGTGGATTCTGGGGTGGAGTACTTTCAATGGATGGGAATTACTACGTTACTATGTTCTTGTATTGGGAAATTTAAAAAATCATCGCCGAAACATGCTCACCATCCCTTGTCGTTCTCTCGTGAAAAAAAACTGCGATTTATATACAATTGAGAAAATCCCTCGTAATTGCAGTGAAGAACGTATTGAAGGACATTTATGAGTTTCGTGAGTCCCAAAGGACTCACAAAAATTTGGGGATTCCTTCAGAGAAGCCCAGAGGTCTTGCTCTTCCTTTTCCATTCACATCCGTACCGACATAGATCATACAAAGAATGAGGGGATTCTTGATCTCGGGAAGTCTACTTCTAGACCCAGAAATAAAAGGTTGAGAAACCCTCTTCTAGAACGTGTAATGCGACCATAAAATCGAAGATTCTAAATCCTAATCGTACTCGCTAAAATAGTTAGGACAAACATTGCATTTTTGTTGGCTTACCCGATTGACCACCAGATGTCGAAGGACATGACGTTGAGCCAGAAGAATGTCGCCAGGAATGAAAAGTGAGCTGTGATCGCTGGGAAAAGAAATATTATCATTATTTGATTCACTTATAGACAACTCACGTCGAAAACAATGGACACGAAACACTATTCTACAGGGTATGAAAAAAAGACCCCTGACCCCGAAAAATTTCAGCTCTTATTATCGTGAAAATATCAGTAATAAGACTGATATTTTCATGAAACTTAAAAATCTACATAGAATGATATGTTTGCATACGACTTTGAAATCTCAATAAAATTAATCATGCTAGAGCAAGGCTATGAGCAATTATTGGAAATAAGTTGGATATTGAACATGGAGAAGGCTTGGAGTTGAAATGAAAAAAAATCGGGAGTGCCGTAGGTGCATATGCGTAATCTTTTCAGTTTGTGAGGCTGGTGGTCCCTGTTCATCATCAATTTTCGATTTCATTTCAATAATTGTTCATGGTCTTGCTTTGCACAATATGTACATAGTATACAATATAGTAGTGGAACGAATTAGCAGGAATTTCCAATGGGACGTCGAGAACATATCCATCCATGCCCAGTGCAAGTTCGTAAGAATGACTCCAGTAAGCGCTGAGTCAGGAAGTCTTTATACACTAAGTCTTTATATACCGTATTTTTGACAATTTCTTCCAAATATTATAGGTCAATAGCTATTCTCCGTCGTTTCCCAAACGTTGGAGGGAAATTTATTTACCCCTGTCGAGATATTTGAGGTGATGCTTCTCTGCGAAGATCATCGCTCGGAGAGAACTTCTCTATCTTCTGCATAGAACTCCTCTGTCAACTTTTAACGTTAGAGTCAAATATGCACCTTGAAATTCAGATGCGATAAGTAAAATCAAATTCGATGCATTTCCTTGCAATAGCAAAAGCGCGACCCGGAACATCGAACGAGACAGACATAAAGGATGCTACACTGTTAAAAAGGGCTCAGGGTATATATTTTTGAGGGGTAAATAGAAAAAAAATGGTTAGATGTCGGTGCAACACTATTTAAAGGGGCTATTTAGAAGTTTATTGAATATCCTTAGAATTTTCTTTTATTCCTTTCGATCTGGAGGGTTTGATATTCAACCCTATCATTTGGGTATAACCACGAGTGGGTTATACACAAGAAAATGAATAAATATATATCCTTTTTGAAGTTGCATATTTATCCCCTTATGTGATAGTTCTTCTCAGGAATCGGATGTTATCAAACAGAGTTCAGGTTTTAACCTTTTCAGGGCTAAACAGAAGAAAAGGTATAGATGAGAGTGAAACACCATTTGCAAGGATTGTTTGTGCAATGTAAAATGCCCTTTTAAACCACTAGATGGAGGTGCTACCGTTTCCCACAGTACATAGAATAGCCCTTTCCTCTTTCCCAGGAATCTCCCTCACAGGTAAATTATGTCACCTCGTCCTGTGTCTCGCCTTGCCTCATTACAGGTATTAATGAAAGCGGACACTTCCTCATTTATTATTCCCATATTCGAAACAGATTCCTGGAACTTAGACCAAAAGTAGCTCGTCTTCTCAAACAGGAGCCCTTATTTAAACAAGTAAACTTTACCCACATGGAACATTTGAATCTCATAAAGATAATGAGTGTCTCTGAAATCATTCCCTAATTTCTTTATCACGAAGACTGGCTGAGGAAACTGCGGTCTGACATCCAGGTCACTCAATGGGATCAGAGGAAAACCCTATATGCTAAGGCATGGGGTAAATGAAAGGCGACAACCCCGCGTAATGAGTGTGTCAGTATCCATTTTCTTCATTACCTTGCCTTCTCATCGCATTTCCGTCACTCCCGTCTCTAGATACATTCGCCAGAAACGGAAACAGAAGTCATTCTTATTGGGAATTTACGAATGCCAGACGCGTAAAAGAACGCTTTCGATCGGAGGGATGGATAAGGAGAGCGGGTGGACAGTGTCAAGGGTGGACGACCGCTCGCAGGATCAAAAGCCAAAATTGGAGGAGAGGTTTCGAACTAATATCAACTCCGTCTAAGTGTATGAGGGGAATGTCACGTCACCATATTCAAGCCGAATGGAGCCGAATGCATCGGAGAACCAGTCGCAAATAGAGGGTGTCTCAAAGAAACTCTTTTAATGCGCATTCTGTCGCTCTACGGAACTTCCCCAAAATCGGACATCACCGATGGGAAATCCACTGCATTTCCTAGTGTTATCACGTACCATCTATTTCTGTTCGTTAATCGTTGAGAAATGCGAGTGAAGCTACCGAGCGTGATGAAAGTCTATATCTCTGCTAACTCACGAGAGGTCTGCCTCTAGATTTTTGTCTCACGATTCGCAGGCAGCTGCATGCTCTCACGAAATCGATTGCCCATTCCTGTTCTGTTCAGATTCTTTCGGTCTTTGCGTTAGTCATTGGAATCCTTTCAGAGTGACAGTGCATGGTCGTACGGGAAGTTTCCCATTAAGGTAAACTAAAGAATCCCCATGCACTCTCCTAGTAGAGAAGGGGTGACCGACCTGCGCCCCCCCCCCGCCCCGCCCCTTTCATCCTGTCTCCTCATCCTTTTCCAACTTACATTTGGCAAACTGGCAATGGCGCAGCGCGTTCTTCCCGAGCGCGAGTTCTTCGCTACAGGATTTTAAATAATTGGTTTAAATGAGTTATGTTAGGTTCACCCCCTCCTGGGTTGCGCCTAACTTCTCTTGTGACGCTGAGCCGGAAAAAGTTACCCACTCCTGTCGTAGAAGATACGCAGCTGATCACACGAAAGCCATGGAAACAAAGTACAAGTCTATATTTCCCACTTGCTCCTCACAGTCAATACTTCCCTGTAACTGATACTTATCTTCAGGGCACATAGAAGAAGTTGGGATTTAAGCACATTTTCTGACAGCTCATTCCGTTCTCTGCACCTTTATTGCGAGCATAAAAGTTGATATATTGCATTGCTTCCTCCTCGAGAGAGATACCATAGCTTACAGAGGTTATACATATACTGACTTAAAATGGATTCTTTGAGTGCCAGAAATTTGCGCGTGCATCAAGGTGCGTTGATGATTGAACTGCTCTGCAACAGAACATTCATAATGACTTCTTGAAAGTGACGAATGAGAGTGCTTCTTTATATCGAAATGTTGCTGGGAAGGTACGTCGCTTCAAGGATGGCCGCCAGTCCCTGAACCGCCTCCCTATAAACAATTTCTGTATCCGCCACTGCCTCAGGACAGGACCTCAAATCTCGGCTACTTCGGATGGAAATGTAGCTCGTGTGATTGAACTGGTAGAAGATAACGGAAGACGAACTATTGGTGATATTTCAAGGGGAAGCGGATCTATCCCGTGGCAGGGTTCACACCATTCTCCACGATCATCTGCGCGAGAGGGGTTCCCACGTCCTCACGCCTGCACGGAAGATGGAGCAGGTTGAAACTGTTGCTGCTCCACTCAGAAAATTCTAAAATGAGAAATTTAGGCATGCAAAACATTGCCACTGAAGATGAGACCTGCGTTCATCTCTTTTAATCCCCAAGGAAGTTGCATAACGTGGCGTGAGTGGCAGAAGGTGGTGCTCGGCCCTCGGTTGCACGCCTCCAGGCGAGTTTGGAGAATATCTTTTACACAATCTTTTTCACGCCTGAGAGACCCTTGGTGCAGATACCCTCATCAAAAGTAAGAACAGTCATGGGGCACTTCTATTCAAAGGGAGTGCTGGCCCAGGTGATCAATGCCTTCCAGAAACGACATTCTAATTAGCAATTACAGCTCCAGAATGACGATACCTCTGCCTTCCAGTCTGTAATTATTTTGGTGTTCCTGGAGCAGGAGAACGTGCCAATTCTGCCTCACTACTCCTATTCACCTGACTTGCCATCGTGCGATTATTGCCTATTCTCCACTGTGAAGATGCCTAACGGGGGGAACTTCACAGTAGAGGACATGCTCTGGAATCAGCGATTTTTCAATGTCTGTAGCACGTAGAAGACTACGCCAGGTGTTTCCAGAAGTAGAAAGATAGATCACAAAAATGCATAGGTTAGTAACAAAAAAATGTTTAAAAGGCAGTGTGAATTATTCCTTCTTACGTGCAGAAGTGATGGAAAAACAGTTTTTTTTTTACAGGAACTACTCTAATTGATTGCCTATCGTACAGCATGAGAATTTGTATCTAAATTAAAGCAAAAATAGGATGCATGATTTCTTATGCAATCAAGACGTTCGTGACGCAGAATACCCTCTAGTGGTCGGAACGTATCCATGCGAAGAGACCAGTTTCCTTTCCTTTGAAGACACCATGCACATAGACCTTTTGAAAGGAAACCACTTGAGAGGCAGAGGAATACAGAGCCCCATTCGTGTTTTCTTCGTCTTCTACCGACAATTGTAGCCGATTCGTCAAGTCTCGTGAGCCTTATCGAAGGAGATGGAAAATCAATGGGCAAGATATTGAAACAAATTAGATTTCGAAACGTAGGGCCGTATTCACGTCACTCCCTTAGCTAAGGGTTCCCTTAGCTCCCTTAAGAGTTAGGGGACCCCTAGCTAAGGGTTCCCTAAGAGATGATGCATGGAAAGGCTGGAAAATAAGGGTCCCCTAGAGGTACCGTATTCACGTTATTCCCTTAGCTAGGAAATCCCTAAACGCACCCCTAAGAGATATAAGAAATTGGAAAGAAGTTAGGAGAGCCTCCAGCCGCCCTTAGCAGACTCCTGCGAGTTCGTCGCACTCTTTCAGAGAGCAGAAATGCCTCTTCAGTTCTCTTTTCTAGTTTTTGCCTTTGTTACTGAAAACGGTTTCGAAGAATTAATTTACCTGTTTAACAGATCATGCCCTTGTAGTTTTTCATTATTTCATAAGCGCTCCTGTCGTATTGCATCGACGTTGAGAAACATTGATGCAATATGTCAGACATTGAAACTTCAATAATTTTGCAATGCTGAGTCAGCGTTGTTTTTACAGGCGTGTTTTTACACATCTTATTCGTAGATTCAGGATTACTTGAATGAATTCATTTGGCAAAAGTTCCTCATTGGAGTTAACTTTACAAATCGTTTTCTTCTCAGTTTCTAACAGGTGCTAACAGGTAATTCTCATATACTGAGATACTGATACCATCTTGCTGCACCAAGAGCTTTTTCCACCGCATCGATGTCCTGGGGTGCCCCCCTGGCACATCCTCTTAATCGAAAATCCGATTTTTGCAGTAGGAACGGGAAAAAGTGGAAACTTATTCATGTGCACCCTTCCCAAAGGACCAAAGTGTGTGTGCATCCATCGAAAATTTGGCGAAAATCGCATAACAAATGCCATTTTTAGGGGAATTACCTTTTCGCAGGCTTGCCAGATAAGCCAGGTTGGATGGTATGCCTAAGAAATAGACTCACCTTCAATGAATAAGCGTCCAAATCCTGCTTGGCATCCATTTTCATTCTCTCCCAGAGTTTTTTGAGCTGAGGGACCTTTATAGGTTCGTTAGCGGGAAACAGGACTTTCATGGAAACATG